CCTGGTCGTGTTGTGTCGGCGGCGGCTCAGCGGAAGTAGGACAAGTATGGGGCGCGTTGCATGCAATTGGCTATGGTTTTATTCCTTTTTCCTTTTCTTCGTTGGGAGAATTAGAGAAGGATGTTATTGCGTTGCTGAAGCGGGTTTAGGCATTCGATAAGACTTAAGATATTAGTGCTCATGCAACTGCTCACATCTTCAACAGGATCGGGTTAGCTATAGCTAGAGGGGTGGGGGCCCAGATTGTATCTTGTCTCCCCACCTATTTTTTGTAAATTGATTGACTTTGTAGATTTTTTTGTTATATTTATAATAATAATAATAATAATAATAATAATAATCAATTTTTTACAAAAAATTAATCACGAAAAAAACAAAAATAGAATTTCTGCTTAAGATTTTTCGGATGAACCAAGGAGGATCCGGAAATTTCAAGCGGATCCACCTCAGACATCAGAAAATTTAGACGGATTAACCTAGGACATCCGTAAATTTTAGGCGGATGGGTAGATCTGCCTAAAAAATTTCGAATCCACCTTGGTTCATCCGGAATTTTTAGGTGGATCCTACCTATAGCGATTTTATTTATTTTTTATTTCAAGCCATACCTGCTCGCCTCCGGTGTCGCCACCTTGACCACCGTACGTCACCTAGATTTCTTCTCGCCTCCTTGGATTGGTGGCTGACTGGCTATCGGTGATGGATTTTTTTTTTTAATTTGGGAGATAAACACTACAAGAAAAAGGCCTGTTTCCGACATAAAATTTCCCTCGCTAAAAGTCGAATTTCCGTCGCAAATAGGCTTTACACAGGAATTTCATCGTAATGTTCTGTCGGAAAACCTTTCGTAGGAAAAAGTGGATATTCCGAGGAAAATTCCGTCGGAAAAGTGTTTTACGACCGACTTTCCGAAGTACAATGTTCCATCGTAAAATAATTTGAGTTTCTAGTTATAGGGAATATTTCAAGCACTATCCTAAACTCGAACTCCACTGTGATCATACACTTAAGCATGGTGGCGTCCAAAGGGAAGGAAGCTAGAGCAAAAGAGTCGCGAACAAGTTTTAGGAACTTGTAAACTGTTCACGAGGTGAAGGTTACATCCCTTAACGATCAAGGAGATCGTCAACTCCAATAGGTCTGGAACCATGACTGGAAGTTCGGGGATGAAGGTACAAATCCAACCTAAAAGAGATTGAACTTGCCCTAATAATAGACCTCTACTTTATTCTGATCGTATTCATGTGCGCTTTCTGACTAACATGCAATCAATAGGATTACCTAAACCTGTTTATCTATGTTGGTTGAATATTAATGCACAAATAAACTATTATTGGCGATCACTTGAATTATAATCATATTAAACCTAAACAAGATTATTAATTATCTTATTAAGCGTGATTACAAGTACCAATTCCCTTTAAACATGCATAAAAGGCGTGATCAAACAATAACATTATTATATATCAAGCAGCATAATAATAATCATAAAAATAATAATAATAATAAAAAATAATCATGATCATAAATTATAAAAATTATAATCATAATTAAAATAATAAAATGAATCATAATTAACATAATCATGTTAAAGCAGAATAATAATAGCAAGATCCTAGGCATGATACTAACAAGATTAATAACAAACCCTAGCATGTCACTAAACATTAAAAATCAAAACTTTAACCCTAACTTGATACTAACATGCTATTAAGAAAGAAAATAGGAAGCATTCTTTTAATCATACTTGATATTAGGAATTTTTTGTTATTAACCCTAAACATGATACTAGGAAGATTAAAACGCCCTAACATGACACTAGGAATCATAATAACAACCTAAGCATGATTTCTAAATCATAATATCAATAAATCAATTAAAGCACTTACTTGGATGCCTCATACCTCTTTCTAATAACAAAATACACACGCTAGTAACTTCAAGGAAAATAATAAATCAAATAATTAAATTAAATAATTGAAAGAGAGATTTGGGACCAAACCCTCAGAAATTAAAACCTTTCACGTCTAGGGCGAAGGCAACTTCAAAATTGGCTAGATGTTTCTAGATCTTGTGAATGCGGAATTTTGTATGCAAAAGCTAGAGGGAGAGAGAGAAAAAGCAAGAGAAACTTGAAAACTAGAGAGAATAAGAAAATTAATTGTTGTTGATGATTGAAAACGACGGTTTTAAGAGGCTATTTATAGAGAAAATCAGCCGGATGTGATAAAAAACGAATCAGAGTATCGAAAAGAATAAAACACGATCGCAGCGTCAAACATGCGAGTGGCGCCAAACGCTGGAGTGCAGCGCCACGCGCTAAGTCAAGCGCCAGATGAAAGGAATGGTGTCCTTCGAACAAGTGTATTATTCTGATAGCGGGTTCAGAATTATTAGAAAGCTAATATATTCAGCAAGGTCAAGTGATCGGAATGCCTGGGTGGAGGCCGCTTCCGATCAGAAATATTAATGTATAATTAATATTACAGCTTAATCTTGACTAAACCCTTTGGGTCGCACCCTAGCAAATATACGAACCGACTCGACGAATTAATTCGAAAGAAATTAATTCGTCGCCCGAGTATTAAATAATTAGACGTTGGAAATTTGAGCTTAGAGCGTCGAAACCAAGCGTCAGAAGTCGAGTCAAAATAATAAAAGACAAGACACGAAAATAATAAATCAATAAGACCAAAATTCCCTTAGCATTGGAATGCACCGAGCTAGGGGCATTTGGTATAGCATGGTGGCTAGCATGCGCACCAAGCTAAGTCTAGGCTGGCTGGTGCGTGCTAGCGCACCAATGCTAGCATAGCGTGCTAGCAGCACTGGCCAACGTGCGCAAGGTGTAAGGCACTCAACAAGCAGCCCGCATCATTAATGCGCGACTTTCAGGCCGAGTGCGCAAGCAGCCCGCACAAGTTGTGCTGGGGTTGCTGGCCAGCAGTGCCGAGCAGCCCGCACGCTTGTGCTGGGCCTGCTGGCAGCCGCACATGGCAGCCCACCTTGGGGTGCCTTGGGGCCCAAGTGTGGTGCCATGTGGAGCAATGTAAGGGGAGGCTTGAGGAATGAGGTGGACGGTTTTTGGAGAGGGATTGGGGAGCAAGTTTGGTCCCCCCTTCCTCCAAATAGTCCTCACCTAACATCTCTCATGAGCTTGCCACTTGTTGATTTATTACTAGTTTGATTATTTATTTTATTTTAGCTTTAAAATAAAATGGAAAAATCAAATTCTCCCACATTGATGGGAGAGCTTTTTCACTCTCTTGTTTTCCCCTATAAATACCCAAGTTGGGGTATTGGGAAAATCACTTGAGTAAGAGTTGAAAAAGGCATCACCATTGTGAAAACCTTTGAACTCATTTAATCACTCGGATTTTGGTCGGACCTTGCTAACTCCAAGGTAGCGGACCTAAAAAGTCGGTGTTCTTCCTTTGTGGGTGAATACCATTGGTATTTTCGGAGCTAAAGCTTTCAAGTAAGAGCCCATTAGGTCAGGCGAAGCACTCGTCAAAGGTAAATTACAATTCTATCCTTTTATGTTTATTTGTTATGCTTTATGGTTTTATTAATTGCGAGTGGTTCTTTGGGTTGGGGTCGTTTCCGCAGTAAGTTGGACTTACCAAACCCCAACACCAGACGCCAGGTCTGGCGCCAAACGCTAGGCTTGGTGTTCGGTGCTGCAAAACAGTTTTTGCGGATTTTGTTTTTATCATATTTTTTGATCCAGAATTCCAAATAAGTCATATAATATATCTTTGGAAAGATCTTGACGTCTACATTACAACCCAATTAGAATTAAATTAAAATATTTTGTATATAAAAACATATGTCCGAAATAGTGGAAGGGTGTTATTTTTGGATAGAGTTTCATATCTCATTCATATCTTTTTCGTTATAGCTCGGATTTAATATTACAATATATCATTGGAAAGATAATTTCAAGATATATCAAACCATATAAAATTTGGATACAGATTATGAGGCACGAAAATAAAATCTGAATATATTCCACTTCGTGCAAAACAAGGATTCTAAAAAGGAGTAGTTTTATTCAATTTCAAACTCTTTGAAACATAATTATCAATCCTAACTCCATTAGGATTTAAAAGAACCTTCTAGAGTATTCTAGAAGACTATAATAAATCCTAATAGCTTTAGGAATGATAATTAATAATAGGCCCTCCTCTAGATCATTGGGCCGCATATAAAAACCAAGTCGGGCCGCCCAGTTTAGTATTTTGGCCATAACTTCCTCATTATTCATCGGAATTGGGCTTATAATATATTCTTGGAAAGGTCTTTTCAAGCCCTATCAAACTACACTATTATTGGACCCTTATCTTGGAGAAAACTAAACTGAAATGTACGTTTTTCATAAATAAGGGAAGAAAAGAAATAATTTTAAAAACAGAAAGAAGAGATATTTTAATAAAAACATCCTCATCACTAGACTTTTCACACTTTCGCTTCATTCGATAATCAAATGAAATGAAAGGTATTCATCACTGGGTTTGTTTTTGTGGAGACACATTTGGGTGTCTACACTAGTATAATCCGTCGCAATTTTACGACCGTCGCTGAAGGCACAACAACGACGGAAAAATCCGTCGCAAATATAATATTTTGCAACGGAATTAATTTTCGTCGCTAGTTTCCGATGAAAAATTCTGTCGCAATCTACCGACGGTATTTAATTCCGTCGCAAAATATTAGATTTGCGACGGATTTTTCCGTCGTTGATGTGCTTTTCAGCGACGGATTTTTCTCCCTTTTTCCGTCACATATTTTTTTCCGACAAATTTTATATTCATTTTTTCCATCGCAAAAAATTATTCATTTTAAAAAATTCTGGTTATTTTTTTAGAACGAAAAATCATTAATAACCTATATTCCTTCACCTAATACCTGTGAAAATTAAAATCATAATCGAATTACAGAAATATTAATATATATATTTCCATAAAAGCTATGCTTGTAGAACATATCCAAAAGCTACATAATATATAGTAATTCTACAAAAGCTGAAACATAATCAAATGCTACATAAATTCAAGTTAAGTACATGTCCATACTACATAAACTAAAGCTATGCTATACAATTGTCAGGGTACCCTGGCTTGCTCCTCCACTACCTGGGTTATCCCTGGGGTCTCGACGATGAGGCTGAAAGGTGGAACATGTGTCGCTGTTTACGAATCGACTCATGAAATCATTCCACCTATCCTCGGATCTCCTCTCCGTTTTGGCCAATTCAGCTTGAATTCGGGTTTGCATTTCAACTTCCATTTAACTCCAAATTTCACTCCAAATTTCACTCCAAATTTCACTCCGGATTTCACTACGAAGAGCCTCCACCCTATGCTCCATCTGATCCTGAATATGAGAAACAACGGACAGTAGGTACTGCTATGAAGACCTAGAAACTCGACCCATCCAGTTGCCATAGTACATCTCTGCACTTTGGCCAAGTCCCCTCACCCGACCCTTCTTGTTGCGACCACCCACACTCTCCCAATACAACTCATTAGGACTCTTTTTAATCCCTTGAGTGGTGGCTTCTTCAACATTCTTCTGGTAGTTCTCCTACAAGAAATACATTATACAATAATATATAGTTTAAACAATTTACCAACAACATAAGTTACAAGTAAAGCAAATAAAAATATAAGTACAATTTACCAACAACATAAGTTACAAGTAAAGAAAATAAACATATAAGTAATTATGACTTCAAATCACATAAAAGAAGCCATTTTCTAAGTTTATGGGTCCATATCATCAAAATTAAGCCATTTAAAGCCAAAATGGCTTCTAACATGCCTATTTTCTTCATTTCTTAACTTATGAACTTATTCTTTCTCAAACCATCTCATATTTACATAGTTATAAGTGATTATGACTTGAAATTACATAAAAGAAGCTATTTTCTAAGTTTATGGGCCCATGTCATCAAAATTAAGTCATTTAAAGCCAAAATGGCTTCTAACATGCATATTTTCTTCATTTCTTAACTTATGAACTCATTCTTTCTCAAACCATCTCATATTAACATAGTTATTAGTGAATATGACTTGAAATCACATAAAATAAGCCATTTTCTAAGTTTATGGGTCCATATCATCAAAATTAAGCTATTTAAAGCCAAAATGGCTTCTAACATGCCTATTTTCTTCATTTCTTAACTTATGAACTCATTCTTTCTCAAACCATCTCATAATTACATAGTTATAAGTGATTATGACTTGAAATCACATAAATTGCCTCATTGACCAAAATAGCAAACCCACAACACATCTATGGGGCAAATTATACTCGCACTTAAGACTAGTAATTCGGGCAGCCATCTCTAACACAGACAATGAACTCCTTTCGTATAGTGGTTGTTCGGAAGCCCTTTAACAAATCCAAGAAATGCTTAGCTTGTGCATTAGGCTCCTCCTCTGCCTCTTCTGAATGCCCTTGATCTTCATTATGACCAAAAGCATCGAAAACCATTTCACGATATTCATTTGATGGTCCTTCAGGAACTCCCGGAAACCCTTCCCCAAGAAAAAATCACTCATAGTAATTAGGTACAAAACCCTTGCGGTACAAATGAATTTTAACCGTTTCCGCATTGCAAAGCCGTTTGTTCTTACATTTAAAACATGGACACCTAACTTCATTCGGGTTGCTGCTCTCGGGATGATCTTCCACTTATTTAAGGAATTTATCTACCCCTTTCACAAATTCCAGATTAATAGAATGCCAAACCTTCCTTTCATACATCCAGCTACATTCTATTTGTTTCATGATTACAACTTCTACACAACTCACGAATATGTATATCACATTAGTCACAATGCGTATTGAATATTCAATATCCATCAAAATGTGACGAATATGCAAATAAGATTGTATATGATGTCCAAAGGTCCTTATCACTCCAACCTAACCCATCCTTGGACATTTAATCTCACTAGCGAATGTATGCCAGGTTATTAATTCTATGGAAAATACGGCAGCATTTTCCTTAAGTTTTCCAAGTACACGATAGGCTATTAGATAACCCGTCATATTTACCCAGAGAACATTGTAGAGAAATGACAAGCCAGGATATTCCCTAGAATCAATAACTAGGCATACATTCACCACCTAAGTGAGAATAAACGTCCAAGGACAGTCCCAACCGGGGACTATCCAAGACATACTCCTAATGAGTATGCCTTGAACGTGTATCTAGACAAATGATTATGCAAATGATTCATTCAAAAATATATCAAGTAATTATAACACGCTCATTTGAAAATATACCAAGCAAATTAAATAACACAACCATTATAAAGTAAAGAACACTCATAATTAAATTATAATAATCATTATAAGTAAACCAAATATATCATAATCATAATTAAATTGATATAAACAATTATATATAAACAACGTTAGTATTCATAATTAAATTGATATAAACAATTATTAATCATTACATTAAACATTATATAAAACAAATATTTTTTACTAAATTAACTAATATACATTATATTAAACTAAACAAAACTAACATACATTATATTAAACTAAACAAAACTAACATACATTATAAAATTATAATAAATTAAACTAAACTAACATACATTATTATAATAAACTAAACCAATGTAAACTAACATATCATGCCGTACATTGTTATAATAAAATATCAACCTAAACTAACATATCATGTCATACATTATTATACTAAACCAAACAAAATTAACATGTCATGTCTTACATTATTATAAAAAACCAAACCAAACCAAACTAACATATCAACCATTATTAATTATTATAATAAAGTAAAGCAAATTAAACTAACATAAAATAAATACTTGAATAAACTAACATGTATCTAAGTCACTAACATGCCAAGTATAAACTAAACTAACAATTTTAGAAATTATAATGTCACTAACCTGTAGATCTGCACTTTTTATTGAGATTGAAAGCAAGGAAAAGACACAAATTCTACAAATAATAACAATTAAACCTTATTTAGGGTGTAAAATGTCAATTTTAATTTAAAAAAAATGAAAATAATAAAAATAAAGGAACACTTACCGGCGGCAACACGGCGGGAGGATGAAGGTGGTGGTGGTTCTGGTCGGAGCAAGGAAGGTGGAGGGACCTGAAAAAGGGGGGGGGGTGGTGGTTAGGATTAAAAAAAAACAGAAATAAAAAAAAAAAACAACTCACCGGCGGCCGGCCGACTTTTTGGAATGCCGGCGACGGGAACAACACCGATGGGAACTGCGGCTGCTACACCGGTGGTGGCTGTTCACACCGACCGGTGTTAGTGGTGGCGATTTTAATTTTAAAAAAAAAACAAAAACATAACTTATCGGCCGGGGAGAACAACGGGAGGGCTGCTGACGGTGGATCCGGTGGCGACTGGTGACCCTCAGCTCCGGTGTCGGCGGGAACTTTCTCTCTCTTTCTCCCTTTCTTTCTTTCTTTCTCTCTCTTTCTCCCTTTCTTTCTTTCTCTCTCTCCCCCTTTGTTTTCCTGTTTCTATCGTGAAAAGCAGGGGGGGAGGTTTTGTGTTCTGAAATTTTGCGACAGAAAATGTTTTGTCGGAAAATGTAGTTTCGACAGAATTTTCCGTTGTAAATAAATTTGCTACGGAATATTCCGTCGGAAACTACATTTTCCGACAGAAATGAATTCCGTCGGAAATTCTGCGAGGGAATTTCCGTCGCAAATTAATATTTTCGACCGATTTTTACGACAAACTTAATTCCATAGTTGAATTTAAATTTTGCGAGGGAAAATGTGGTATGTCGGAATAATTTCGTCGGAAAAAAGCCTTTTTCTAGTAGTGAAAATGAGAGAGAAGTATGGAGTAAAATGTGATTTCAGAAAGGAGTGTTGTGAGTGTCGTGGGTATTTATGTATGAGGGGTAAATATGGAAGTTCATATTAAAATTGCGAGTGATTCCTAGTAAAAATGGGAGCGTTGTTTAACAACCCCCGTGGATGAAAAATAAGATAACGCCATGTAAAGATGATGTTAATTATTTTGGGGTTAGTTTGGACGAAAAATTAGATTGAAGGGTGTCAGTCAACAAGTTAATAGTTACTCCGTAATATTTAATAAGCTATAATTATTTGGAATTTATTTTTGTAAATGGTTGCAATTGACAAGCTTAATTAATACTATAATAAAGATTGCAATTGACAAATTTTCCCTTAATTGATAACATAAAATATTCATACATAAACATAAATTATATAGTCAAAGCCAATGTATAATATTAGTGCACATAATGGAATGACAAATGACATTCAAAAACCTTAAACATTAACGAATCACATTTCATTAACAAAATGTTAATTTAGTGACAGTTAATCTAAATTTAGAAATGATCGAAACTTTACTACATAGTCTACATCGATCATTAAACAAACTTCAAATAAATCAATGTTATTTTGTGAAAAATACCCTTGAACGATTTCTTGAAAAAGCTGAAGAAATGAAACGAGGAAAGCAGGGACAATTATCGAACCCCGACTAATTAATCCAACTTCAAGTAAGGATTTTAATTTAGTCCTCGCGTTCCTTTCTTTTCTTGTTGGATGAACCTTTGGTTGCGCTCTCGGTAGTGCCATTTACAACTATTTTGGATCTCTTCCTTACCGGCGAGCATATTCCTGGGTGGATATCAGCAGGACTTATCCTTGAACTAGTTGACCCTGACCCTGACCCTGACCACGATTCTGACCATGACCCTGATCCTCGATCGAGTTGCTTGCTCTTCTCACCGTCTTGTAAGGGCGTTTTTGGGCTAGCAATGTCTGAGGTGTTGCTGATAGTTGACTCAACCTCATCTCTTGGACGCTTGTTCTTATTATGTAGCTTGGACTCCTCTTTTGATGGAGTTGATGTAACATTATCCAATGTAGTCAATTCTACGGATGAAGCATGGAGGATGACTTCAGTTATGGTGGTATCAGCTTGGTTTTTTAGCACGGACAACATCCTTATTAGAGGTGCTACCTCCTTCGATGTTGGTGTCGACTACTTGACGAACAACATTGTTAGAGGTCGTGGCACCTCCTTGGATGCTGGTTGTTTTGTCTTTGCGGCCAAAAATCTTCTTAATCTTTCTTTTCTTTTTTTTGATAAGATTCAAGATGTGAGATTTGAGGTTTTTTTTTTTACCCTTAGTTTTACCAGCACTACGTGCAACACCTAGTTCTGGTTTCAAATTTGATTCCATGCTTAATTACCAAATTGAGATATTTGAGAATGAAAATGAAGGAGGATGAGTGAAGTTCAACACTTAGGTTGTGGATGGTTTAGTGTGTGATTAGCAATAGATTATATAGGGATTGAGTAACGACGACTTTTATAACTCGGCTACAATTGGATCAAGAAATGAGTGAATAGTATACACGTTTTTTATTTTTTTACAAACCATATGTTATCAAACGTTGATTAGCTTGTATTCCGTAGGTCTGTAGTTGACTCTTTTGGTGAGTTGAAATTGAGTTTAGACGGATATGATATACTACCTCCGTTACAGGTTATGTACAACGATTTGACATAAAACAGAGAGAGAAAATGTCTAATCGTTGCACATAACCTGTAACAGAGGTAGTAATTAAAGAATAATGTTATGCGTAGTCCTTAAGCCGATAAATAAAGCATTTAAAATCTTTCTAATTTGGTACTCCCTTCGTTTTTTTATATTTGCATTACTTGCAAGTGCGCGGAGTTTTAGGAGAATGAATTAATAATGTGAGTGGATGTATAATTGATTATGGTAAAAGTAATGTGGGGACGACCATGAAAGTGAAAGTATGTGAGAGAGTAGTAGAGACCATGAGATAGAAAAATGATAAATTAATTTAAGTGGGGTTTAAAGTAATAGAGAGAAATAATAAAATATAGTGTAAAGTTACTGTATATAGAAGTGATGCAAACAAAAAAACACCTATAAAAAGAAAGTGATGCAAATAAAAAAAACGGAGGGAGTATAAATTAAGGAATGCAAGATAAAATTATGTGCCAATCAGTGTAATTAATGTTATATTTTTATTTATTTAATTTATTGATTATTTTAACTTTTTAAATATAGCATTAAAATATTGTAAAAAAGATGATGGGGATTGTAGTAGTTATTTTTTTTTTTTTTTTTTTTTTTTTTGGACACTTATTAGAAACCTTATTTGATCATTCTTCATAAAACATGAGAAACAATCCTAAAGGCTAAGGAGATTTCATACTAAAACTAAATGACAATAGTAAGAATAACTCCCCTACCTTATAAAATGGAACAACCTCTCTTATTTCTCCAACGTGGAACACTCATAATTGGCAATTGGCTGTAATGGATCTCAACACCTCTACTCCCAAGTTCAAACATTGTCTGAACATTGTCCATATTAGTAGAATTGTGGTCAGAGTCTTCTGTGCCATTAGTTGAATATGTAGAAAAAAAAAGTATTGCTATTAGGTTAGATTATTACTCCCTCCGTTATTAAATACTTGCTCAATTTTTTTTTTTTTTATTTCTGACCGTTTTTAAATACTTGCTCTATTTCCTTATTTGAAAAACTTTTACAATATTTAATTCATTTATCTCAACTAGTAAACCAAACATAAATCATATTTTATTAATATCATATTCTCTCCTCCAATTCTCTCAACTACTTTTGCTTTATACAATTTTTTATTCTTCCACGACTCCCACTATCTCTATATTTTATTACTTTTTTTTATTATTTCTCATAAAACTCTGAGCATAAAAAAATAGAGCAAGTATCTAAAAATGGAGGGAGTATGATATAAGCACTTGACTATAATTGATCATATAGTAGTAAATGACTTCATTATTATATATTTATATTCACCATTATTAAAATAAAACAATTTAAGTAAAAGATTATTAGGAGTAATTTTCTTAATTACTATCACATGCTCACATGATCGCACAACCTAGGTACCTAACTACCTAAGGGACCTGACCTCAAGGGCTCAAGGTCTTTTTTAAGTATAGTACATTTATTTTTTTAATGAATAAGGTCTTCTTTAATATTGGTGACAAGGTATATAGTACTACTTATTATCTAAATAAGGTCTTCTTTAATATTGCTCTAGATCGGAGTTATGCTTAAATAATAACATTGCAGGTCAACCATTAGGTATATATTTAACAGAAGATGATGCCGATTTACCGGAGGTTAAGTTGCTTATGCATGGAAGGTGCTTCCAAGACATTAGAATCTATGAAAGCTAATATGAACGTGCAATATGTAATTAGTAATTACACATGATGAAGTCAATTCGAAGTGACTTTATCATGTGTAAAGCTGGTTTTTTTTTTTTTTTTTTTTTTTTTTTTTTTTTTTTTTTTTTTTTTTTTTTTTTTTTTTTTAATGTGAGTTTGGTATGTACGTGATAGCCTATGTTGCACACTTGCACTACAAAGTCGTCTACTATAGATAGGACATGGCACATGAGTGCAAAATATTCAATTCTATCAAATCTTACCATATCTTTTCTAATTAATTAAATTATTAACTGAAGTGAAGAGGTAGTGTTGTTGTTCTCATAATATGTCCAAATTATCCTTACTTTTATTAGTTTTAAACTAATCAACAATATACCATACAAACCTAACATGTGCCATGTATGGATTCATTTCAGAGAAAGAAACACAATTGTAGATTGGATCTATATCTAATGTAAGTCACCTTGTAAATGCTAAAATGTGCACTAATTGCAATAGTAGATTAGTAGCCCTCAAATCCTTTTGATTCATAGTGATAAATTAGGTTTGCCACTCAAAGAGGGCCTCCTGATTAAAACTCATACTTATATTTTTAAACTAATCAACAATATACATACAATACAAACCTAACATGTACCATGTATGGATTCATTTCAGAGATAGAAACACAATTGTAGATTGGATCGATATCTAATGTAAGTCACCTTGTATATACTAAAATGTGCACTAATTGCAATAATAGCCCTCAACTCCTTTAATTTTGATTCATAGTGATAAATTAGGTTTGCCACTCAAAGGAGGGCCTCCTAATTAAAACTCTTACTTATATTTTTAAACTAATCAACAATATACATACAATATAAACCTAACATGTACCATGTATGGATTCATTTCAGAGATAGAAACACAGTTGCGTTGTAGATTGGATTGATATCTAATGTAAGTCACCTTGTAAATACTAAAATGTCACTAATTGCAATAGTAGCTCTCAACTCCTTTTGATTCATAGAGATAAATTAGGTTTGCCGCTCAAAGGAGAGCCGCCTGATTAAAACTCTTATATATACAAAATAATTGATTATCTTTTAACGTAATAGCCATTTTGGGGACTTTGATGGGGTATTTTTTTAAATGGAACATTTATATTAGGAAATTTTGATTTATAACACCACATAAAAGCACAAAATTGGTTTTTAACACTTAAAAAAAATTATTTTAACATACACCACTAAAATTTTAAAAAAATTGGCTTTTAACAACACTTAACTAATTCATGGATGAAATCCTTTAATGGGGCTCACATTGCCTACATGTTAGCATATTATTGGTCCATAGAAATATAAATAATTAAAAAACAAAAACCCTAAAACTAACCTAGCCACCCCACCACACCCACCGTCGGCCCCACCACCACCAGCAACACATCGTCGCCACTGCCTCACCCTGACACCGCCGTTCCTAGCCCCTGCCGCCAGGAACTTCGCCCCCTGCCTTGCCCTCTCCCTAAAACTGGCAGCCCTACCTCCCCAACAACCACCGTTTTTCAAACCCCCTAAAAACAACCATTGAAAATGATCGTTAGAGGTCGAAATCGGCCTATTTAGGGCCAAAGTGGTCTATTTTAACACACTAGTTAAGAACCGTGAAAAGTCAAATAGGGTAAATAATAGTGGACAAAGAGAGTAAAATGCAACATTTGGTTATGGGTAGGGATCGATTGTCAATGGGTAGATCGGTAGAGTAGATAGAGTGTTGTAATACCTAGAGATATATGACACATAATAGATTAATTGTATTTTATAGTAGGATTAATCAAAAAGGTATAGGTATGTAGGTTGGTAAGGTCCTGGATCCATTGTTTTCTTAAGTTATGGCACATTGATCAAAGCAAGAGGTGATAATAAAAAAAAATTAAGGTAAACTGAACGAGTTGGTGTTTAAGGAATGAGATCAAACAAGAGAAAATAACAAGGAGAAGGGAAGAAGAAGTAAGATTTTTTTCTTCTTTTAACAAATTGAGAATTGGAAATCCCCAGTAAAAAAACCAGCACGTTTTTAGCACGTTTTTTGTACAGTTGATCACATCGTATGACCGCTTGTAAAAATAAAGTAACTTTTATAACACTAATAGAGTAACCTATTATACTAATAGGTAATCCTTAGTATACTTAATGAGTAATCTTTAAATAAAAAAGTAACGTCTACAATACTGACATAATAACCCCTATATTATTAATAAAATAACCTTTATAGACCTATCAGGATAAGTCCTACAACATTAATCGATTAATCTAATGGTGATCAGCTAAATGTAAAAGTTAGTGGAAAAAATGGCTAAAAAGGGTAAAATTTGTCCCCAAATAAAAAATCTACAGAATAAATAAGTTTTCTATTAGCCTTAATTAAAAATATAGGTAAAATAATAGGGAACATCAAGGTTGACTAGATCTTATTTGGTATAATAAGTTAAGTTAATAAGCTTATGATATATGACTTTTTGGCTGTGCATAGTTGCACAAATTAAGTCTTTTAGATCTATCTCCTCCTTTCTCTCTGCAAAACCCTAGCCTTCACTGTTGAATTTTGAAGGGGCTTCCATCGATTTTAATCGGTGGAAAGCCCCAATCCTTGTTTCTTTATTGTTTTTTTAGGTTTATAATAATGCTTCCTCCTTTTGGAAGGAACTTTTCTCCCTCGAAAGAAAGGGTTTCCGATCTCTTTCGAAAGACAAGGGTTTTTCGACCTCCTTCGAAAGACAAGGTTTATCTCCTCTCTTCAAAGGAGAAATTTCTTAGTTTTGAATCCATGGTAGCAGGTCTAATGGATTGTCGTGAAATTATTTTGTTGGTGAAAAAGTTATCAAGTTTTCGAATACGAACAGATGAATTAGAAGGAAAACATCCTCATGGCTACAAAGGATCGTTAGATTATCTCTCCAACAAGGCTGTAATTTTCAGCGATATAAGCGGGAGATGCTCCACAGTGCAAGATCTACTCGACGATCGTAGTTTTTATGAAGGAAAATTCTATTTGATTCAATATCTTATGTATTTGTTAACATCGAATCTCTATTGTAGATGTCGTATGACTTTTAATTAATGAAATATTTTTGCTATTCAAAAAAAAAAAAAAAAAATAAGTCTTTTAGATATTATCAATACTTTATTTGTTTTATTAGTTGACATCATTTGACTTTTGCACTATTTATAAACTATACTTTGACTAGCTTTTGTGATTTTATAGCTACGATAAAATATAGTCATATTTTATCTTGTTTGAATCTTCTCAGTGCATAAATATCCACTTTTATAATTTTACAATAACGATAATTAGAGATATTATTCGTTTAAAATACAGTGTTGACAAACGTGATAATAAAAAAAAATACTCCCTCCGTCTCATATTACAATGTTTTTTTTCCTTTTTGGGTAAACCAAAATACAATATCTCTTTTAATTTAAAGGTTGTACTTTTTAACATTATTACTCTCTATTTGATGATTTGTCATCTTTTTTTCCTTTTCTTCTCTATCTATTCAACTATCTCCAACTACTTTTTCGTTCTCTCTATCTTTCTCTAACTCCACATGCATGCACATATATACTTCTAATTATTATTCCATCCGTCCCCAAAAGAACGGCCTTTTGGGTTGATTTCGCGGGTATTAAGAAAGTTAAATAAAAAAAAGTAAGAAGTATATAGGAAAGATAAATTTACATGGGATTTGAAAAAAAAGTAGAGAGAGAAAAAGTAATAAAAGTACATGAAAAAACAAAATTTTATGTGGGAATTTAATTTTGCACATATATTGTTGTAAATTGGTGGGTATTTTAATATAAATGGTTCGATTATTTCTCTCAAAAAAAAAAAAAGATAATGCTATATGTAGCCCTGAAGGTTTTATATAAATATTAAATATACTCTTGAAAATTGTATAAATTATGAATTCATGAGAATAATACGCATAAATCAGTGTTTATATTTCTATGATTTACTAACATTATACGATTTTTAGTGTGTATTTAATGCTTATATGTAGCCCTAAGAGCTATGTATAGCATTTTTCTTTTAATAAAAACTCCGTATAAACTTTCTTAATTCCCGTGTAAAAATTCAAAGAGACATTGTATTATGAGACGGATTAAAGGGGTATCAACTAAAAAAACGGATGTAGTAATTAATAAATAAAGAGTGAAGGGTGGAAAAAGAAAAACCTCAACTCCAAATTAAGTAGTAAGTTTTTAATCTGTAATTTATAAGATGGACCGCTACCCGATATGGTCTGTACCAAGGGATGAAAACAGTATAAAAATCAATAATAACAGTACAGTATAAAATTAATAATACTCCCTCCGTTTTTTTTATATGCATCACTTTTCTTTTATGGGTGTTTTTTTTAATGCATCACTTCCTTATTTATAAACTTTATACTATATTTTATCATTTCTCTCTCTTACTTTAAACTCCACTTAAATTATTTTATCATTTCTCTCTCCTCTATGATCCCCACTTATATAATAAAAATATCTACTCTCCCTTACATTATTTCTCTTTCATGGTCCCCATCTTACTTATATTATAATAAATTATTCATCCACACACAATATTATATTACCCTTCTAAAACTCCGCGCATCACCAAGTGATGCATATAAAAAAACGGAGGGAGTAATAATATAATACAAAAATATGCTCTTTTCTTTTTCCCTATTTCTTCATTGAAAATCTCGTTGGAATAATAACGGTATAGAATATAAATTACTCCTCCGTTTTTAAATCCTTGCTCCATTTTTTTGGACACGCATGCCGATGCTAATCTTTGATCACTAATATCTTTAATTATCAATAAATATAAATTCTAACAATTGAAAATTAATAATTTATTAATCGAGATGATTCCAACAAGTACCCACAAGACTATATTTTTTCTTATGTATAAATTACAAACATTAGTCAAAGTAGGACAAATGAATAGTGCAAAAAATAGAAATGGAGCAAGTATTTAAAAATGGAGGGAGTAATAGTATAAAATTAAGGAAAATTTTTAAATTACCACCCAAAAATGTAACCATTTTTGAACTAACCACCCGTTTAATTTTTTATTTTAAATTACCATCCCTTAAATTAAATAAATGCTCATATTACCACCTATTTCAAAAATCCGGTGGATTTTCCGTCTGTGGACCCGATCTAACGTTTATTTGACCCTTTTGACTGATTTTCCCCCCTAATTTTCTCTTTAAAAACGCTCTCTTAACTTCAATTCACATTTTTCTCTTTGAAATTTGTTAGAATTTGGTGAAAGAAATGTGAATTAAAGTTTAGAGAGCATTTTTAAAGTGAAAAATCGGGGGGGGGGGGAATCAAGCAAAAGGGTCAAACTTTGTGTTAGATGGGGCCTACAGACAGAAAATCCACCGGATTTTGTAAATGGGTGGTAATCTGAGCATTTATTTAATTTAAGGGGTGGTAATTTAAAATAAAAAATTAAACGGGTGGTTAGTTCGAAAATGGGTACATTTTTGGGTGATAATTGAAAAAAGCAGATATTTAATTTAAGGGGTGGTAATATCAATAATAACAGTATATACAAAAGCAAAAAAAGTACTTGGTATGGACCATACCTGGTAGTGGGCTATGTAACTCAATTTACTACCTCCGTTATAGATTATGTGCAACGATTAGACATTTTCTCTCTTTACTTTATGTCAAATCGTTGCACATAACCTGTAATGGAGGAAGTATAAGTCATGAGCTCAGATGTTTACCAGTAAACTAAGTCTTCCTTAATCTCATCGATCTTGTAAATAGTTGGTATTTGGTATCTAATAATACTACAAAAGACTACCTCACAATTTTCACATTTTTTTTTTATTTTTTAAATTTTGACAGGTCACAGTTTTCAGTTTTCACACTTCGTATATTTGAAGTGTTCTTTTCCATCTATATTAAAGTTGACTTGGATTAAATAATACTTTGTACGTTAAAAAAAATAATATTGTTAGTTTAGTAGCCATTAGTCATTAATGAGTATATATAGAAATCAGTGATTAGGAGGGTCGTGAATGATCAAGGCAAAAGCATAATTAATCATCATCATTAGCAACTTAATAAAACAAAATCAGCAACTTAAATTGATCTTCACGTATTTTTCAGTCAAGTAACAAGTGAAGTAAGAAAAATAATGTTGAAAACTCCACAGCCTACTCCTCCAGATTCTTTGAAGCAAGCACATGTAAGCAACGATATCATCGTTTCAATTCCGCCAATCAGTATTCCGTCAGATGATCCACCACAAAGTGAGTAAACCTGTATTTTAATCTAGACTAATTTTGATTAATATTGTTACTTTATTTTTGCTGCTTTGTGCGATTTTACTCCCTCTGCCTCTAATTGTTTCCTCGATTTTTGAGTCAAAGTTCAACAAATTGATTATGGATTCACATTGATTTATAAGCAAAACTATAGTACCTTGATAGATTTGGGGTGTAATGTATATATGAACAGAATAATGATTTATTTTGGTATTTCTATAAAAAAATCTTAATATATAATTATGAAAACACCCTATTAGTCATATTTCAAAAGAATGCTGTAAAATTTTCAAAAAATCTTACTAGTTTTTTTTTTAAATTTTCTCTAACTTTATGTTGCACTTCCATGCAACTTTTTAAAAAAAAAAAAAAAAAAAAAAAAAACAAACCAAATGTAAATATTAAAAAATGGTCCAGGGAGTAACATAATTGTGATTTATGAAACAAAGATGGTAATAAAGTTGATACATTGAAGATTCATAACAATATGAATCTAATAAGATCTAATTTATTTTTCTTAGAATGCATTATTATACATGGTCAGAATTGGTAAACTTTTAACCTTAAGAATAGGAAATTGGTAGAAATAAGGAAAACCGAGGTAGTATATTCTAAAACACTGATCATGATATATGGTGCATATTATTGCTTTCAATTTTTCTATAACATCTCTCCTCATCGTACCGTTGTTGCAAGTCTTGCAACTGATCTAAATTCTCTTATTCCCTTCATTCCTCTTTTTTTGTCTCGTTTGGAATTTAATTATAAGTGGATTTTAACTCTATTGAAAATTGTACATGGGATTTTGTTTGCATTGATTTGGAAAAAGTCAGTAATATATCACAGTTAGACAAAAACAAGTACATAACAATAGTAATTTTGTAAATAATGACATTCTCTGAGTACTACTAAAAGGTAATATAGTAACACTGAACATTTATTATACTCCCTCCGTTACGAGTTACTCGCAACAAAGAGGGAGTTTGCGGACTCCTAGACAAAGTATTAAAAGCATGATTAATGAAAAATAAGGGCATACACTTAAGTATTAATCCAACTTTTAAAAAAAATTAAATAAAAAAAAAACCATGAATTCACGAACAGCCTATCACCACCACCTAGCACCACAAAACCACCCAACACCACCATCTAGCACCACAAAACCACCCAACGCAACCACCTAGTACCACGACACCACCCACCACCATAACCCACAACCTCGAACTCAAACCCAGAACCCCAAAACCCACAACCCCGAACTCAAACCCAGAACCCCAAAACCCAGAACTCCGAACTCAAACTTAGAACCCACAACCCCAAAAACCAGAACCCACAACCCCGAACTCGAACCTAGAACCCAAAACCCACAACCGACTAACCGACGAAATGGATATAAATAACAAATTAATGCCTTCTCTATCGTCAATTTAAGCTTTAATTTGTTAAATTTAACCATGAAAACTCTAGATCTAGAGTTTTCATGGTTAAATTTCACCATAAAACCTTCAAATTTAAGCTTTAGAACAACAAGAAGAGGAGAGAGAGAGAAAACGACTTTTGGCGACAAACAGCAACGGGACATCGACAGTGGTTGCGGTGGAGATCGGGGGAGATGAACAAAGAGAGAGAAATTTCTGGGTAACTAGAGTGGATATTGGTGGTAGTAGTGGCGGTGGTGGTTGCCCATGAAGATGATGATGAATTGAGATGGAAGAGAAATGATTTTGGTAAAAATGGTTAAGTTAATCAATGTTAAGTTTAAGTTAATAAGGTTAAATTAGTAGTTTAATTAGGATGTTTTAAAAAATAAGTAAGGGTAATGTTGTAAAACCACACTAAAAAACTTACCATAAAAGGAAAGAAAAAAGTTTGTTGCGAGTAATATGTACCGGCCATTTATAGTAATTGTTGCGAGTAATTCGTAACGGAGGGAGTATATGTTTTCGTTAGTATAAAAGATACTCTTAGTATTACTTAAAAAAAACATTTCAGTAGTACTACTAGAACTTCCTTTTGTATAAAAGGTTGTTATATTATGCAATTTCGCTTGTGTTTACGTTGATGTATTAGGACTTACTCGCTCGTTTGATTTGTATCAATGTGGTGCAATTTCATATGTAAAATTTTATAAATTTTATATTATATATATATATACAGAGTACTTCCTTTTTTTCTCAATATTTGTATCATACTAGCTTTTTACACTAGTTTTATACTAACTAAAAAAACTGAATTTTAAGGGATCTTTCTTTGGCCGGAATCTGGTCAAAGGACTCTGGCCACAACCCAAATCTGATAAAAGGACCTTTTGATCTTTTTTATAAAAGGACCTTTGCAACAAAAAAGACTTACATAAAAAGACCTACATAAAAAGACCTTTTTGCCAAATTCACCTAACAATAATGTAACCATACAACACTTGCAGAGTTCAATTTCAACATACTTACCTTCGTTTTTTTTAGTTGACACGGATTCCTTTTTCGGAAATTCATTTTTAATTAATACATTTTTGTTTTGGATAAGTTTTACGTATAGCTGTCAATTTCTAACCCGAACTGTCAAATCCGGCTGTTTTGAACCTATCCGAAAAGCAACGGAACCGTTAAAAACCCGTTTTTTGGAAATCGATAACCGACCCAATTTTTTCCAACCCTAAACTGAACTGAACCGAATTTTTTCTAACCGTTAATGATCTCAACAGTTATCAAGCCAAACCTTTACAACCCAAACCGATTACGCCTAAACCCGATAGTAACCCGACCCATTTAAAACCAAAAACCGTTTAAACCCGGAAAAAATCTAATAAAGCTGAACTATTTCAACCTGTAACCCGTTGTGACCGAACTGTTTTAACCTGTACCCGTTGCGACCAAACCGTTTACAATCCGTAATCCGTTGAGACAAAACATTTTACGACTTGTAACCCGTTGAGACCGAACCATTTACAACCGGTAACCTGTTATCACTGACTTTCTGAATCGTTTACAACCCGTAACCCAATGTGTTTAAATGATCTGATCTGTTTCAACCCACTACTTTATAAACCCGCTTTATTCTTGACTTAACTAGGTTATAACATGACCTGTTTCGACTTATTATCTGATTAACCTGACTTGATAATGATCCGACTCGATTTTAATACAATATGATTTTAACTGAAACCCGCTTCAAATTGGGTAATTTGTTTTTAAACCGACCAAGTTCAATCCAAATCGTGACTTGAACCGATGATGATCGAACCCGATTTCACTCAATCTGTTTTGAATCATAGCCTATTTTCAAACCTACCCGGTTTAATTCAAATTGATTATGACCCAAACCGATTACAACACGACCCGATTAGGACCCAAAATGTTTTGAACCGAAACCCACTTATAAATGGCTAAACCTGTTTTCAAACCTACCCGATTCAACCCAAACTGATTATGACCCGAACTGATTACAACCTGACCAGAATAAAACTACAATAAAAAAAAAAACGTAATTTTCAAAACTGACCCAAACCGATCCGCTATCATTTTAACCTGTTATAAAACTGACCCGTTATAACCCAAAATTGATAAACCTAACCCAAACCTGAACCGTTTACCCAAATTGACACCCTTACTATTATAGTTTGCATTTATTGGTGTACCCCACTTGATTTATCTTTCTCTCTTATTCCCTCTCCTCTCCTCTCCTCTCCTCTCCTCTCCTCTCCGTAATATGTGTGCCTAAATTGAAGGTGATAATTAAATAGAATCGAATCAGGTTTGGATTGGGTCACTGTCATATATTTGGGTTATGATAAACTAGGTGCATCACTAACATCAGAACATGTACCTTATTTACACTTTAGCCAGAAAGAACTATATGAATGGAATTTTCATCTTGAATAATTATTGCATGAGGAAAATTTGTTGAACTATGTTCACTGACATTAACTCTTTCTGCTCTTGCTAGGCCAAAAAGAGGAGGAAAAATTAACAAAACAAGATTTGTTGAAGTATGTAGTGCCTCTCTATCAAGCTGCTCTGGATGGTGACTGGGACAAGGCGGAAATCGTTTTCAAAGTAGATAACAAATGGATGACTGCCAAAATTACAAAACATGGAGACACAATCCTTCACATTGCAGCAGCAGCCATGCACCTTGATTTTGTTAAAAAACTGGCAAGTCGTATGCATAAAAACAATGTTCCTCTAGATTCAAAAAACGTACATGGCAATACCGCCTTTTGCAATGCTGCATCATCTGGAAATGTTGAGATTGCACAAGTGATGGTAGGATTTGATAAAGAGCTACCAAATATTAGAAGTTCTGGAGCAAAAAAATTGACCCCTCTTCATATGGCGATTCTTTTAGGAAAAAGAGATATGGTGAATTACCTTAACAATGACAGTGTAACAGATCCCAAAAAGCTGACAGACGAGGATCGCATTGAGCTGCTTACCAGTGCCATAGAGGCTGGTTTGTATGGTATACGAATATGACCATTATTTAGATTCTCTTTGCATCTTGTTCACTACTTAGTACATAGATAGCACATATTGTTATGTGTATTACTTGCTGAAATGTGTTTATTTTATTTGTAGATATCGCGCTTGATTTCATACAGAAGTATCCATGTTTAGCACTCCAGAGGAATTCAAAGGATGAGACTGTGCTGCACACCCTTGCTGCTCAAAGGCCTCTAAAGAACAGCACTCATAAGCAGAACATATGGGGTAAACTTCTGAGACGATGTCTGTTGTTTTCCTCTTTTTACCTGGTAGGTTGATCAATCGCCAATCCTCCTGTTCCATTTTTCATTCATGTCATTTGTTCAGGCAAGAACACCCGCAACAAGGAAAATGAGCAGGACCTCAAAAATAATGCACTTGAAGTGACTCGGAAAGCCTGGCAGAAAGTCGTTGAAAAAGAAGATATCTCAGAACATATTAATACACCATGGCGACTATTGTTTGTGGCGGCCAAAAGGGGGAATGTTGATTTCCTAAGAACACTAATTTATATATATCCTGATATAATATGGAAAGTGGATGAGAAAGGAAGAAGTATATTTCATATTGCTGTTCAATATCGACATGAGGAGATCTTCAAGCTCATACACGAGTTTGGAACTATAAAAGATCTCATTGCTACATACATGGATGATCATGGAAATAATATGCTGCATTTAGCTGCTAAGTTGCCACCTCCCGATAGACTCAACTGCATCTCAGGTGCGGCTTTACAAATGCAACGAGAGCTACTATGGTTTGAGGTTATTGCTCTTACTACACTCTTTTCCTTTGCATTTTTATTAATTTCAACATGTTGTTCTGGCTAATATTAACATCACCAATGTCTGATAGGCTGTCAGGAAAGTTGTCCAACCCCAATATGCACTGGCTAACAATCATGCAAACCTCCAAAATGATGAGGATAGGACCAAATCCCTTAAGTCCATCCAAAATGATAAGAAAAATTCGGAATACAGAAATCAGGAGGATGATATTACATATGAAGATGATGATATAAGTGATTTCGGAATGACACCCCAAGCTTTATTTACTAAACAGCATGAGGACCTACGGTCACGTGGAGAAGCATGGATGAAGAAAACAGCAGAATCATGTACTCTGGTGGCAACACTCATTACAACAGTGATTTTTACAGCGGCTTTCACCTTACCCGGTGGTAATGATCAAAATAATGGATCTCCAATCTTGTTAAATCAAGTATGTTTCAAGATCTTTGCAATATTCAACGCAGTTGCATTGTTTGCTTCCTCTACTTCCATCTTCATTTTTCTGTCAATCCTGACATCGCGATATGCAGAAAAAGACTTTCTTGTGGCACTGCCACGAAAACTCATGGCTGGCCTAACATCTTTATTTTTCTCCATAGTATTTATGATGGCTGCTTTCACTGCTACATTCTTCATCACCTTTCTACGCAATCCGATATGGATTCCAGCACCTATACCTGTACTAGCAGCTATCCCAGTTGTGCTATTTCTTTACCAGCAATCTTCTCTTTTGTGGGATATATATAGTTCAAAAAATAAATCATGGACTTTGATTCAGCCAAGTGACAAACGCACGCTTTTCTGGAGTAGTAAAAGCCCGAAAATAATGAGCAACAAGGAGGAGAAAACAAGTTATAGAAGACTGCATAATAAGTTGGAGTAGATTCATAATGATGCATATTTGTCTGGTATATAATTTTTCTTTAGGATGTCTGTTGATAAGTATTAGGTGACTCGTACTTCGTTGCTTTGTCCGCCCGATCGGGCGGACATTACCCGGTCTGACCGGGCGGAAGAAGAAGAGGTGCCTGGCAAATTCGTTGAAGAAGCTGCTCTCGCGCGCCCGACCGGGCGAGCTTTCGCCCGACCGGGCGAGCCTTCGCCCGACCGGGCGATCTGGGTTTTTTCAGCGATTACGAATTTAATATTTATCATATTGTGATATTGTAACCTAAGTATATCTTAATTAGGAATCACTACTATATAAACTTCCTATTATCATTATTAGGGTAACGGAGAGAGAAACACAAGAGAGAGAATACTTTGAGTGATTAAGTTCTTCATTGTAATCTTTGTAATCTTTGCCAGTTTATAGTGAAATCATTCGATCTCGGTGCCCGTGGACGTAGCTATCACATCGATAGTGAACCACGTAAATTCTTGGTGTTGTTCTTATTGTTTGCATTGAATTTCTTTATTGTTTTCTTGTTTGTTTTCGACCTTTGCTTCCGCTGTCGCACAACAATTGGTATCAGAGCTCAGGTTCAATCCTTGGAGAGTTTCTTGAAGATAACAATGGCAGGAGATTCAACAATAAGAATTGAGAAGTTTACCGGGAAAAATAGTTTCGGGCTATGGCAAATTAAGATGAAGGCTCTGTTAAAACAACAGCAGATATGGCGTCCGTTGGCTCCAAAGAGTACTACTTCGGAGTCAGAAGATGGACCGACTGACCCGCAGTTAGAAGTTATGGAAGAGAAGGCACACTCTACCATATTACTTAGTCTTGATGATCAAATCATCACGGAGGTGGCTGATCAGGAAACGGCGGCTGGATTGTGGCTGAAGCTGGAGTCATTGTATATGACTAAGTCGTTGACCAACAAATTATTACTGAAACAGCGGTTGTTTAGCCTCCGGATGCAGTCAGGTACTTCCTTACGGGAACATCTAGAAAAACTTAACTCTATTTTGCTTGATTTACGTAATTTAGATGTTAAAATTGATGATGAGGATGCTGCGTTGATTTTACTTGTATCTCTACCGTCTAGCTTTGAGAATTTTGTAGAGTCTTTTGTTGTTGGTAAGGATTCTATAACCTTAGAAGAAGTGAAGGCAGCACTTCATACTAGGGAACTCAGAATGAAAGCTACGAGTGATAATGGGGATAATGGTAGTGGGTTGTTTGTTAAGTCCGGAAAGTCTAAAAAGAATAAGGGGTTTAACAAGGGGAACAATGCTGGGTCGGGTGCTGGAAACGGCAAGGATGGATCTAGTAAAACTACTACTAAAACATGTTATTACTGTAAAGAACCGGGTCACTTTAGGAATAATTGTCCGGTGAGGAAAAACAAGTCCCAGGCTGCTGTAGTTGAAGAGAAACCGAATGAGAGCTATAATTCAGAGGAAGATTTAGCATTAGTCAGTTCTGCTAGGTCTGATGATTTATCTGATAACTGGGTTCTAGATTCGGGGTGTTCGTTCCATATGTGTCCACGTCGAGATTGGTTTGATACATATGAACCTCGCAATGGGGGTATGGTTATAGTCGGTAACAATGCTCCATGTAAGGTCACAGGTATTGGTTCCATGAGGTTGAGGACTGTTGATGGGCGGAGGTTAACTTTGACTAATGTACGGCATGTTCCTGCTTTAGGAAAGAATCTGATTTCATTGGGTACCCTGGATGACTTGGGGTACAATGGTGTGTTTTCAGATGGGGAGTTGTGTATTTTCAGAGGTTCTGAGTTGGTACTTAAGGGTATCAAAAGGAACACCCTCTATGTTTTTGAGGGTGTTACACTGCCTAGTTCTGCGGTTTGCGCATCTGTATCTCACCAGGAGATGACTAAGATTTGGCACATGAGGCTTGGTCATATGGGGGAGAAGGGGATGCAGCTATTGTCCAAGAGGGGTCTTCTATCCGGGGTCAAGGTTGCCAACCTTGAATTTTGTGAGCATTGTGTGTTTGGTAAGAAACACAGGTCAAAGTTCAGCAAGGGTGCTCACATTACTGATGCAGTGCTCGATTACATCCATTCAGATTGCTGGGGTCCATCTAGAGTTGAAGGTATGGGAGGTTACCACTATTTTGTGTCATTTGTTGATGACAAGTCCCGATACACATGGCTTAGGTTGCTTAAGTCAAAGGATGAGGCCTTCAAAGTTTTCAAGCAATGGAAAGCTTTGGTGGAAAATCGACAAGGAAGGAAGATCAAGAAGCTACGAACGGACAATGGGCTAGAGTTTTGCAAAGACGAGTTTAATCAGTTCTGTGCAGATGAGGGTATAGGTCGGCATCATACTGTCAGGAAGACACCACAGCAGAACGGTGTAGCAGAACGGGTTAATCAGACACTGCTAGAGAGAGTTCGATGCATGCTCTCTAATGCAGGGCTTGGGAGGAGGTACTGGAGTGAAGCTGTGTTAACAGCTTGTTATGTCATTAATAGGGGTCCTCATTCTGGAATTGATTCCAAAATTCCGTTTGAGATCTGGAGTGGTAAGTTGCCTAATTTTTCGAATTTGAAGATTTTTGGTTGTGTTGCTTATTATCATGTTATTGAGGGTAAGCTGGATCCACGAGCCAAGAAGGGGTGTTTTGTTGGGTACGGGGATGGTGTGAAGGGGTTTAGAATTTTTTCACCTTCGGAGGGTCGGGTCATTCTTAGTAGGGATGTTACTTTCGATGAAAACACCATGTATTCAATTAAAAATGCAGAGATTTCAGATTTGAGAAGGGAAGGAGACAATTTATTACAGACAGATGGGGTACTTGAGGTACATCAGTCTACCATTGCTGATTTACCTCGGGTACAATATATTGATGATGATGCTGATGTTCCAGTGCCGGGTACTCCTGAACCTGAGATTACTCCTACTCATTCTAACTCTGGGGATGAGGTGGAGCAATCTAATCAGGGGTCATCTAGTCAACCTGACACCATTCTTGAGATGCCTAAACGAGTTATCAAGAAGCCTGTTAGATTGATTGAAGAGATGGAGGGAAGAAATTGTTGTGTTGATGCGATGACAGGTTATGCATTGAGTGTAGCTGATGATGTAGAGTCATTTGAACCTGCCACATATAAACAAGCAATTAGTTGTAGTGAGTCTGCGCAATGGCTTGCCGCAATGGGTGAAGAGATGCAGTCTCTTTACAAGAACAGAGTGTGGGAACTGGTAAAGGTACCGGAAGGGAGGAAGCTTGTGGGTTGTAAATGGATTTACAAGAAGAAAGAAGGGTTGTCGGAAACTGAGCAAATACGTTTTAAGGCTAGGCTAGTTGCTAAGGGGTTCAGTCAGGTAGAAGGGGTTGATTTTGTTGAGATATTCTCACCTGTGGTTCGACATACTTCTATCCGTGTGTTATTGTCAATTGTAGCACATTTTGATCTTGAGCTGGAGCAGTTGGATGTTAAAACGGCTTTCCTTCATGGCGATTTGGAGGAGGAGATTCTGATGAAGCAGCCCGAAGGATTCGAAGTTCCTGGAAAGGAACACTATGCCTGCAGATTGCTAAAGTCATTGTATGGACTTAAGCAATCCCCCCGACAGTGGTACAAAAGGTTTGATTCTTTTATGGTTTCACAAGGTTTTGACAGGAATTCATATGATTGCTGTGTGTATCATAGTAAGCTGGATAATGGTTCCATGATTTATCTTTTGTTATATGTTGATGACATGTTGGTTGCCACAAAGAATAAATCTGATATTGCTAGATTAAAGGAGATGCTTAACTCGGAGTTTGACATGAAAGACTTGGGTGCAGCTAGGAAGATTTTGGGTATGGAGATCTACAGGGATCGGGCTAGAGGTAAGCTTTTCTTGACTCAGAAAAGCTACATTGAAAAGATTTTGTCTCGTTTTGGGATGGAAAAATCGAAGCCTATAAGTACGCCAACTACTGTTAGTTGTAAGTTGTCTTTGTCTATGTCACCTCAATCAGAGGAGGAGTTGTCTTATATGTCTAGAGTTCCATATGCAAACGCGGTTGGTTGTTTGATGTATGCTATGGTCTGTACTAGGCCGGATATTGCGCATGCCGTTAGTGTTGTAAGCAGGTTTATGGCTCGACCTGGGAGGGAACACTGGCAAGGGGTGAAAAGGATTTTTCGCTACCTGAGAGGGACAACTGATATTGGTCTTGTGTACGGGAATGGTAGGGAATGCTTGGTCACTGGGTACAGTGATTCTGATTATGCAGCTGATGTGGATACCAGGAGGTCTGTGACTGGTTATGTGTTCACTTTGGGTGGTTCTGTGGTTAGTTGGAAGTCTACATTGCAGTCATCAGTTACGTTGTCAACTACTGAAGCTGAGTATATGGCTTTAACTTCTGCAGCTAAGGAGTCTATTTGGCTCAAAGGCCTAGTAGGTGAACTGGGTATTGCACAGGATTTTGCTACAGTGTATTGTGATAGTCTAAGTGCGATTTGCTTAGCTAAAGATCAAGTACACCATGATCGGACGAAGCACATTGATGTCAGGTATCATTTCTTACGTACTGACAAGAGGATTAAGGTGAAGAAGATTGGGACTGCTGACAACCCGGCTGATTTCTTCACTAAGCCTGTTCCGTTTAGCAAGTTTAAACATTGCTTAGACTTGTTAAATATTGATTACTACGTGATGTAGTAGGCCCTGAGGGGCGAAGTTGGGGAGCTCCTGGTGTAGGTGTGTTGGCCTTAAGGTGGAGCTTGCCCGGGGCTTGTGATGCAGGTGGAGCATTATGAGTTGTTATACTTGGAGACGAGTATGTGATGGGTCTTGGTTGAAGACTTATCGGGATGTATGGCTTATGCATGAGTCTTGCATCGGGTTTGGCTTGAGATGTTTTTCACTATGTCTTGATGGGGTCGTTTGCTGACTACGAGTTCTCGTCAAGGTGGAGATTGTTGATAAGTATTAGGTGACTCGTACTTCGTTGCTTTGTCCGCCCGATCGGGCGGACATTACCCGGTCTGACCGGGCGGAAGAAGAAGAGGTGCCTGGCAAATTCGTTGAAGAAGCTGCTCTCGCGCGCCCGACCGGGCGAGCTTTCGCCCGACCGGGCGAGCCTTCGCCCGACCGGGCGATCTGGGTTTTTTCAGCGATTACGAATTTAATATTTATCATATTGTGATATTGTAACCTAAGTATATCTTAATTAGGAATCACTACTATATAAACTTCCTATTATCATTATTAGGGTAACGGAGAGAGAAACACAAGAGAGAGAATACTTTGAGTGATTAAGTTCTTCATTGTAATCTTTGTAATCTTTGCCAGTTTATAGTGAAATCATTCGATCTCGGTGCCCGTGGACGTAGCTATCACATCGATAGTGAACCACGTAAATTCTTGGTGTTGTTCTTATTGTTTGCATTGAATTTCTTTATTGTTTTCTTGTTTGTTTTCGACCTTTGCTTCCGCTGTCGCACAACAATGTCGAATATTTCAACTTCGTTATCAATAAGAAAGTTGACTATTAATATACTCTTACCTGTTCAAATAGAGGACATATATTTACTTTTCTAGAAAAAATTCTCTTGCTTCTAACACTAGCACTTGGCTGGTCCGGTAAAGACGCCCAAAGGCTGGAGTGCAGCGCGCGTCCAACAGACTACTAGATGGCTAGGTGTACCTAGAAAAACAGGTACACCCAGGACATATTTATTAGAATTTGAAGAACATACTAGAATCTGGATAGTTGATACTATCAGGCAAGGACAGAGGAAAAAAACACAGTTGCACAATAAAACGATTGGTTCAATTATTTATTTTTCAGAAATAGTTAAGGATTATATAAAATATATTCAGTACCATTCCTAATATAACAGTACTTACACAAAGGGGTAGCCAACTAACTACTTTACAGACGATTTCACAGGATGCATAACCAGAACGTAACAACTGCTACAACGCCACTTAAGATGCACATCTTATCAATTCGACTTTCATTTCGCATCTTCTCCTCCTTTATTTCACTTCGAACTCGGGAATACAAATTACAAGACTCAAGGACTTCACTATAGTTCCTGCTCTTCCTGCAGCTCAATGCCTTATTCAGCACCATCAGACTGTTTCTTCCGTTAACATGAAAACCTTCCATGTCTTCCAACTGCATGCTTACTTGGGTCAGCTCAAGGTTTACACAACCACTAGCAGTATCATTAACCATTCTAAATTTCACTAGAAGGATGCATTCTACAACTTGACAGGGGAGGATATCTTCAGCAGGGAGAACAGACCCAAACCGTACTAGGAAATCCTTATCACTAGGCCAATGCCTCTGAACTCCTAGGGGGATAAAACTCGATACATTGGCTGCTTGCTTAACCTTTGTATTTACAATGATCCAACTAAGTCTTAACCTATCTTGGAGCTCCATCCAGAGCTTTCCTTCTTTTCTTTCATTATCTACAGATTCAATTAAGGGCAAACCATCTTCACCTGTAATGATAACTTTCCCTATGTTGTCATTGACATCTGAATTGCCAAGGTCGATGTGGAATGGTGCATTATAGAACCAACGGCCAAGAGCATCCGATTCAGAAATTCCCCAAAGGACTTTTGAGAAAATTGGCTTGTCCTTGTATCTTATATCAACAAGTGAAACAAAATCAGATGGTGTGAGGCTCTCATATTCTTCAAAATCTTCATAAAAGTCTGCTTCTGGCCATTCTTCAGGGTATTCCAGAAAGGAATCTAATGGAAGCAAAGCCAAGTCTTTATTAACAATGAGAGGGTAAGAGTCTGCATAGAACTTTCTAAACCCACCCATAGATCTAATCAAGGTTCTCACATCATCCCGCTTAATTGAAGGCCACAGGGAATTGCAAACATTTTCCCATATTCTCTCCTCTTTTGAGATAGAGGAAAATGATGCACAGGTGCATGCTGCAGTGGCCAAAGTTGCCCCATCAAGGCGCCTTAATATATCATAAAAAATGTCACTGCTTAATGGACAAATTCTTTCAGCTTGAACAGACATTTTAATGCCCTACCATCTACAATATTGACAAAACAGACAAAAAAGAAACACAAAATGAGAAAAGGATTGACATGTTTTTACTGTGCTGCTTTTAAAAATATCTTCAAAAACTATATGCAACCATATAGCAATAAAAAAATACAGAATACCTTCAGGTACCGTGATTCACCAGAAATGACTACTCGTAATACATAATACCTTCAGGTAGCATAAGGAAACACATAATTTTGAAGTTTTACTCCCTTCATTATGCTGAAGGAAATCCTCTGTAATGAACCTTTATGGTTATTTAGAATTTACTTAAACAGTTGCCAGAATTAGTAACATAGAGTGAAAATGAAGGGTCCTTAAAACAATGCAAGACAGACAAGCAAAAGCACCACAAATTCTGAATATCCTATTTTTAATATCAACCATTACGGTATTATTTATTTATTTGAATGCCACTTATTACATTATTGATCAGCATAATATCATTTAAAAGCAACCTATACACCTAGCACGCCAACTGAAGGATTTCACATATTTGACAGTTTTTACGCCACAGTAGTGCTAAATATGGTGTATACCTTGCTATCAGAGAGCGCTTAGATGAAAGAATCACTATTCTGAACAATACACATGGAACAGATACAAGTAACCAATTAAAGAAAGATAAATTAAAGTTCAGCCAAGCTACATCAAACTGATGAGTGAATTGGATGTTACAAACCCAGTAGTTGATCCTTTTATTTTGCTATCATGTATTATTTTCAATCATACGAAGAATTGTTTAAGTAAATTACTTAAGCACCTTATTCACAGTTTTGCATCTGAAATTTTCTGAAAATCAGTTCATGTCTCTCCAGTTTCTTGGCTGTCATGAAAGTCAGTTCATGTCTCTCCAGTTTCCAGTTTCTTTTGTTTGCTAAAAAAAGAGTGTTAATAAAGCATAAACACATTTCAGATGATGCCAACTGAATTGTGGCCTATGTTGGGAATGGAAAGGATAAAATTACGAAGTTGCAGAATGCTAGAGCCTACAACCCAATAATTGATGACACCACTAACAACATATATGGAGAAGCCATGATCAACTGTCCTAACTTCTCTCAATGCTACCAAAAACATATAACAAATTAACAACAGCTGCTTACAAAAGCAACATAACAAGGCATAAATAACCCGAAATTTTGTTTGTTTCGACTGCCATACCTTAATGTGTCTGAAATTGTCCAGACACTTCAAATGGGTACAAATACTTGGGTATGATTTTTGAAAAATAAGTTCAATACCTTACTAGAACCTAGGAAATACAGTCTTTTGCATACTACAAACTGAAATTCATATATCACCCACCATTAATCCTGTATTACTCATTTCATAATCAAGGCAAACAAGAAATACAATTCTGAATCAATTGCTTATCAAAAATTGGATTAAAGAAAAAGGTAATCATCAACTTAGTTAAAAAGTTTTCAACCTTTTCATCCAATAATTTCACAACTTACCCAAAACACACCTAAACACAAATGGGTAACTTTGAAATTACATACATTCTCTCAAATATCATCCATGAACCTAAATTGGCATATATTCCCCAGCAAACAACAGTACGGGATAACAGTTATTGTAAAACACAAAAGGTGGAACAAAAATCATCCAACTAAAGACCAAAGCGGTTAAACGACCACGCGAGATAAATTATTGGTTCATGCAGCCGACCCCATCAAATTTGTTATTGAAAACACCATAAAAACACAATCCCTGAAGCAAATACATCATTTTTAAGAAGCACATTCATGTACGAAACACCCAACTATAAAAATGTCAAATACCCATTTCACATGATTAAATATCTCAGAAATCAGAATAATTATAATAGAACAAAGGAATTACATTATCAAAGATGATAAAATTGGAGAAAAAGAAGAACAAACATACCTACTTATAATTGGCCAGAATTCTGAAATAATTGGTGAAGTATTATTGGAAATGTTGCCCAAGTTAAGATTCACGAAGAACTCTTCAAACTTAGAACAATGAGCTTTTGATGGGTATTTTCAGAAAATTCAAAATATGAGGTGGATTTGGATTGAGATCACCAAAATTGTAGCAAGGTAATTTTGTTCTATGATATTTATGTTTACATTTTATGGTTCAAAAAATAATTAATGAGAGACAACATTGAATACATATTATTGGAATGAACTAGTGCAGTGAGATAAAGAGAGTGATTATAGAAATGTAGTTTGGTGGAAGTCAATTCAAAACTATAATTATCAATGTGGTATTCGACGTATAAGCAACTTAGATTATTATAGAGTAGATTTTTTTGGATTTGGAATTGGCACCATGTTTAGGTAGCAAGTAATGGCCATTAATTATAGAGCCGACACATAAAGAAAATACAAACTAGAAGGTTATGTAGTTGTACTATTTCAAATCAAGGGATATAATTGGAGGAAATTTTTTAATAAGAAAAAAGAGGGAGATTTGTCTAATTGTAAAAAAAAATTAAAAGAAAAACCAATTATAAATGATTAAAATGACATAAAATTATATTTTACCGCTGATAAGTAGCATTATAAATTATATATTCCGACCGATAAATTTATTGATATGTTACAAAAATGGGATTAAAATGACATAAATTATATTTAGGCTGATTAAGGAGTGTTATAATTGGGCTAATTGTCGGAAAATGATTGGAGGTATTGAGGTAGTAAACGTGCAAATTAAACACTTCTAGCCTTCTAGGGTAGTAATTAACAACACTAATACTTTTAAGGTAGTAATTAACAACTTTTTTACAATAGTATTTGACAAGGTGCCATTTTTTTTAATTTATTTTTATTTTTATTTTTTATTTTATTTTATTTTTTGTAGCAATAATTAACAATTTTTCTAAAATAGAATATGTGAATCGGGTGGTATTGTTGTAAATTTTTGAAAAAGATTGACTAAATTTGATACCATTATATTTATGAAAATATGTTGATTTCTTTTAAATTTTATGAAGACTAATAGAAAAAACAACATTATCAATTTATATTTTCTCTGTGTCGGCTCTCTAATGAATTAATTTTAATTTCAATGAAAATATAGCAACGTATGAATCAATTTAAGTAATAATGCAGTATCAAGATTAAGAGGTTATTGAAATTCTATAACAACTATTAAGATAATTCTTTGGACAATAGCTTTAGGAATCTTGATAGATCTTGATATTAATCAAAGTGACCTCATATCTTAGATTTATGTTATTAATTTGAGCGTGTGCAATCCAACCTAGTCAAATTCTGTTGTTTGATTTGGCAATGACTCGAGAATTATGTTGCATTCAAATCGAAATAGGTTTAACAACATCACCGTTGAATTTGTTTATCATGATCATAGGTTATGTAAAATGGAGTCATGTGAGTTATTTTTACAAAAAACTGTTGCGTTACAAAAAAAGTAAAAACAGATTCTGACCTTTAAATGCAGATATCTCTCAAACTATAAGAGATTTTGAGGTGATTTAAGTTGGAGGTGATAGCTTGTTTCAAAATCTTTTCAACGTTATGTCATATGCCCAATTCCGATAAGAAACAAGAAAATTATGACCGTTTTACGAAGTGACGATGCTAGAAATTTGATGACGAAACTCAACCGGGCACATCCGTGCCTGATCGGAAATTTCAGTTTTTTTGGTCCACTTTAAGCTTAATGTTTTGTGGAAAATTTACTAAAACCATATTTCTTCTATAACGGCTATTTGATATACTTGGGAACAATTTAGAGTTTTATTAGGGTTTCCTGTGTTATAAAAGGACCATTTAGTTGATCAATTAGAACACACCTTTGAAAGCCATTGAAATCAGGACTCCTTGTATTATTCTCTCGTGCTTTCTCCATTATAGTGAAGAAGCTCTCGAATCCACCTGTGAATATAGGTCTAACTTGACCGAACCACGTAAATCCTTGTGTTCTTTGTTTATCTTCTTTATTACTTTTCTCGTTCTTATTTTTCATTGACCTATTCCAAATTAATCAAATACAATTACACCCCTATTTCCTACACAACGTGTCTTGTGTGCGGCAAGCCACATCGTGTGACTGCTTGTAAAAGAACAAAGTACTCCAAAAACACTAACCAAGAACTCCTATAACGATGATCGAGTAGTCCCTGTAACACTAACAAATTAACCTCGACCATGTAACCCTTATAACAGTAACGAAGTAACTCTAAGAATGGTTAGCCGGTTACATGTAAGAATTTGTGTTTCTAACACGGATTGTAAAAAATAATTAAATAAAGACAGAGCCACATTGTGTGGTGTCATGCAGGAAGACCGAAAAAAGGGAAGCATACCCGTGTGCCGGTGGTTCGGTTAGCCCAGCCCTTACCATAAAGCAAACACCAAATTTCTCACTTCTTTCCTTATTATACAAGAGATTAGATACTAAGAATAGAATAAATGGATAGATCATTAAATGTCCACGTTTTAATTCTTATGCAAAGATATGGCTGACATTACACTCAGAAAACAAAATCATCTTGGATCGCCACCTAACACCTTATTCAATTCGTAGGTCCTAATTCCTAAACAATTCATACTTTTGAGTTTTGATAGCATAATTCATGGAACTATTTCAGTATTTCTACCAAGTACTACTTTTGTTTTCCAGAAATAAGATACAGAGTACAAGGAAATTGTGCACGTCTTATTACAAGACCTCAAGGCCATATTTTATCTAGTAGGTAAAACAAGATTTTCAATTCAGAAAAGGGTTGATATCTTGATCTGACGATGTGAAGTTGAGTAATGCAAAAGAAAATGCAAATAATTAATACTTCTCCATTTAAAGCTTATGGGCTCATTGTTTTTGGTGTTTAGAGAGTCACAAGAACGAGGGTAAAAATCGATCACATATCTCTTGGAACCGAGAGGGGAGCTCTAACCACTTGAGCTTTTCGGCTCACTGTAAATGCACTACCTTCGCATTTTATTACTTGCTCCATTTTTTGGGACACGTATACGATGCAAATCTTTGATTAGTAATATTTTTAATTCAAAATAAGTATAAGTTGTAACGATTGAAAATTCTTAATCTGCTCATTGAGACAATTTCAACAAGTACCTATAAGATCATATGTTTTCTTATGTCTAAATCACTAACATTAATCAAAATAGGTCAATTAAATAGTGCATATATAAAGTTCAAATGAAGCAAGTAATAAATACGGAGGGAGTGCTTTTTTTTTTTAATTCACTATCAATTCGTATAGAAATAGTCTATAACAAGAAAAAAAATAGATGAGTTAATCAATCAATCAATCAATAACTATATACTAAAAGACACACCAGCAATGACACGTGTCATCTCTTGGTGTGTCCTTAGTTTTTTTTTTAAAAAAATAAATAAATTATATTTAAGTAACAAATCTTTACATATATATTATAATAATAATTACTTATAGAGTATAATAGAAGATTTGATGTATGATGTATCCTTCCAAAAAAAAGTACTAACAATTATAACTTAAGCAAAAAAATAAAAAAATAAATAAAAACTTAACATAATTTGTGAAATATGAAGGTTCTTTTTTGGGAAAATATATAATATTAACATAATTTGTGATATATAAAGCTTTTTATATTTTGGGAAGGTATATATTAATTATGTACTACGTTTATTAGAATATCATTTTTTTTGTTTCAGGAAACAACAAGATCATATATTTTTTTTCCCCTTAAAAAATCATATTTTTTTCTTGAATTTATTTATTTTAAAAATTATGTAATAGAAGCTACAAATTTTTACAATGAAATGCAAATATAAAATCAACAAATGATATTTTTGTTATTTCCTTGGATAATTTATGATCTAAATTTTAATCAATTTATAATCTATAATTACCTATGGACACTTCAATAATACTGCCAAGTTCGACACATGTTGATTATTCTTAGTGTTTTTTTTTTTAATTTTATTTATTCAGCATTCAACTGATATGATAAAAAAGATAACATATTAAAATTACAATGTTAATTTGAATAATAGAAATTACCGTGCATGGTACGGGACCTAACCTAGTAGTAAAGTAAAAGAGAAAGAGAGTAAAAAATAAGTGGATGTATGTAAAACAAAAATGCAATAAGAGGAAAAAATACAAGTTTATCTTCATGATAAATAAAAAAAAAAAATTAAGTGTTTATCTAATGACATTTGTGTAAATAAATCAACAACTTTTCTTAAATGTGGATCCCGTTGATTTATTTACAAAAATGTCATGTTGATTGGAATATTTTGTTGATTTATTTATGAAAATGCCATTAGATAAAAGATTTTTGTTTATCATGAAGATAAACTAGGACTCCCTCCAATAAGAGGGTGTGTGAAATTAAGTACTCCTAGGTAGTAAGTATTGTGAATTTAAAAAAACAAAAAAAAGAGATTAGAATCCAAGAAAGTATTTGTACCATTTGAAACACTTATAATTTTATACAGTAGTATTTTCTTTCAATTCTTTTATGATTTTCTTATTTCTATTATTTTCTAATTTCCACTAGGTATTTCCGTATTGATAAGATGATAAAAATATTACACTTTCTAACAACTTAGAAAATAAATAAATAAATAAATAATTAAAAGTATACAAGCCAATAATCATAATCTATAAAAACAAACGTGTGTGGGCCAAACTCTATCTTAAGTTTAATTCTCAAAAAGAACTTATAATACATAAATAAATAATGTCCATGCTTGCAAAGTTGCAATTATGTACTTAGATTTTGCGGGTAGGCATCAATGGGGCTATAGTAGATTTGGATAGGGTAACTAAATCATTATAATATCACTTCATTTAAGTCTTTGATTGACCCCTTATTAGTATGAATCATAAGATGTTGATGTCACTTAAATTTTAGTAGAAAATGTATTAAAACTTGTTGAAGTTATCAACTTGATGCAACTATTGTTATCTATGCCTCCTATCCTAATCATTGCATGGATTAATGAATTGACCACCAAGCGGTTTCGAGCTGAGATAATTTGTTCATGTCTTTTACTAATTACTCTAGTAATTTGTATAAATTTTTATTAATATTTGCTCCACTAATCATAGTTTCGCTTTATGATAAATTTCATTTTTAGTGCCGATCATCCTATAAAGGAAAAGTATTGTGTAGAACGAATTCATGTGAGTCCGGTCATACAAACAGAAAAAAAAATTCTTAGATAATAATGGTCAGATATTAAGTTATAAATATCATATATTGTTAAGCCCATAAGAAAACCCACATGTGAGTGGTGTGTTGTCCCACATTGGTTTAGTTTATAAGTAAGAGTTTGTATTGGGAAGTGTATCCCACATTGAAGAAATACGGCTACTTCACCAAATGTCATCGAGCACTTTAAAAAATCACCAAATTCCATCGGACTTTTCAGAATTCACCAAATGCCACAGAGTTTTAAAAATATTCACCGAGTGCCATTAATGGCTAACGATAGTTAACTTCGTTAGTTATTAAGGCTAATTATGCCACGT